TTGTCCTAATGTGGACCTATAATCTGAAGCAAACATTTTAGAGTAATCAATATAACACTGGCCTGGTTGCATGTTGAATTTTCTATAAAGCTATAATAAAAATAAAATAAAGATAGCTTTAATGACCAACCTGCCCGCGAGCTGGCAGGTTGGAGCGTTGCCGTGCGTTACCATGGCAACGCTCCGACCTGCCTGCTGTTCTCGCGAGAGGAGAGCGCCTGTATCTTAGAACATTTCAGAAAATGTATTTTCTTCTATTTGGTATCTGTTAAATTTTTGTTATTTCTTGACATGGATTTTATTTATATGAAGTTGTTTAGTTGTAAGAGCAGCAGCACAGACCTTGATGTAATTCTGTACTAGGCCCAAATATTATAAAATGCTTCATGTTCCTGTTCACAGGCTTTGCGGAAGCTTGTAGATTGTGCAACCAGGAAGTAACAGGAACGGTTGTTTGACTGACAGCTGGAGGGGTGGGGGTGGAAATTTATAAAAGAGCCATTTTCTATTGAAATCTGCACTTTTTCTAAAATGAAAACAGAGGGCTCATTCTTCACACATAATGCATTTCAGAAACCTAAAGTGCTTTAAGTATTTGGAGTGTTCCTTTAAAGCGGCTCTGTTAACTCACATAAAATGTTGAGTATGTCATAAAGACAGAATATCTATAAAATACTCATATTCCAACTGAGTTGGAATTTCATTGACATTCTAGCACGGTCAAAAGTCAGTTAAAAGATACCATAAGACAAACCTGGTCTTATGTTTCATAAAGCAATGTTAATTCCCACATGCGTCGCTGGCGACAGCTGTGAGAATCAGGCTAATTCTCGCAAATCACGAGAGTTACTGAGTTAGTTACTAAAATGAGCATTCAGAGTGAATTGCAAAGTTAAGGCCAAAATAGACAAATTGAAAACATTATCGAACTCAGCTATGCTATCAGTTTTAGTACTCTGGTCTTAAAGGGACACTATAGTCACCCAGACGACTTCATCTCATTGTGCAGTGTCCCAGTCCCATTTAGTCCTGCAATGTAAATCATTGCAGTTTCTGAAAAACTGCACTAATTACATTGCACGACTAAGACCGCCTCTAGTGACTGTCAATCAGACAGCAAGTATGGCACTTCCTGCTTGCTAGGCAACTTTAGGTCACCTAACTGACGCTGGACATCCTCACGCTCTGCATGAGGACATCCAGCGTCAGTCAAATCCCCATAGGAAAGCATTCAAAGCAAAGCTTTCATATAGGGAGGGCCTAAACCAAGTGCAACACATTAGTCTCCCTCTCAGGTGGCGTCAAAAGAGACGGATTGCTGACTAAATGAACCACAAAGGAGGAGGGGTATGGGCAGGGGGTCAGATTTGTATCCCTTACACTATAGAATCCCTTTAAATTTGAAATTTACATTAAATTTCCTTTGAATTCTCACTTTTGTGTATAAACGTGTTAGTCTATGGAGGCCTTCTGTGAAAGTACAGCACTGACTGGTTCAGGAGCCTCTATGGAGCATACCAGTTTTTAATTGGATTGATCTGCCAAAAAAAGTTGAATATTTTTAAAAGAGAAACCTCCAGTTTTTATATTTTTACAGAAAAAAAACACAGAAAAAATAAAAATAACAAAAGGCATGCACATCTAAAAAAATTATTTAAAAAGTAGCTGATTCAGAAATAATGGAAATATATGTTCACATTAATTCTGTTCACAGACAGCTTGCTTCAGCTTGTAAAACGAGACACCTCCCTCAGAAAGCACGAATCTTAGGAAAAAGCAGAAACAACATTTCATGCAATATTTACAATTTAGAGATTTGGTGAAACATCAAAAGAGTTTTTTAAATTAATTTTGGTGTTATGCAATGTAATTATTTAATCTATTCCACTTCTCTCTGGGTATTGTAACATGATCCCCACCTGGTTTCTGGTTCGCGATCTATTAATTCAAAACTTAGCTGTGATACATGTATAACATGTGTTAACAGCATCTTCTAATGTGATGTTTCAACAACATATAATAACTTTAAGAGGTCTATAATGATTTTTTTTCACACGTGAAATCATTTTTATATGTATCTTATTTTCCTTTTTTAAGGATCAATAATACGTTTTTTTTACGAGTCGATCTCTCAGATATATTAATGCGTTAAATAATATCATTGGATAATTCTTAAGATGTAACGTCCCTGGAAATGCTTACCTTAGACTGTGCTAGTTTGTTCATAAAAATGATAAAACAACTACAATACTTTCATTAGCTATTTTACATTTTTTACAATTATTTCATCCTTTAAGAAATTACTGTCTACTCATACTTTTACACTCTTTTTCAGCTTTATTATTGGTTCCTCAGGGTAACCCCGTCCTAATTGCCTTCTACCTCATCAGTTCTCTGTCTACATATTTTAACATTCTTCATAATTCTATAAGAACTGTCTCTTTTGGAGTGACTCAACGTACTCTTAGCAGTGTGCCTTCATTTTCTGAAAGGTTGTTATGATCACTAGGTTTTACATAATGATCTGGAGCAGGGCCGGACTGGCCCACCGGGATACCGGTGCGCGACCACCTAGTGTGCAGTAGCCCGAGCCGCAATTACAGGATGACCGGCAGGAGGGGATGAGCTCCCCTCATTCCGGTCACAGAATGTAGCGTGGCCGAGCAGGCAGACTGCGGTAGGGGAGCTTCTGTTCCCCTACCCGGTCTGACAGGAAGCAGGAAGCGAGAACGACTAAAGGTAAGGGGGTAGGGGGTAAAATAAAGCTTTTTTTTAATATATATATCAATGCTATAACCCCCCCATACACACACTACACCTCCTCCCCCCCACCAACAGCACCCCTCCCCCCCACCAACAGAACCCCTCCACACACACACAGAACCCCTTCACGCACACAGAACCCCTTCACGCACACCGAACCCCTTCACGCTCACAGAACCCCTCCACGCTCACAGAACCCCTTCACGCTCACAAAACCCCTCCACGCACACACACAGAACCCCTTCACGCACACAGAACCCCTTAACGCACACAGAACCCCTTCACGCTCACAGAACCCCTCCACACACACACACAGAACCCCTTCACGCACACAGAACCCCTTCACGCACACAGATCCCCTCCACACATACACAGAACCCCTCCATGCACACAGAACCCCTCCATGCTCACAGAACCCCTCCATGCACACAGAACCCCTCCATGCACACAGAACCTCTCCACGCACACAGAACCCCTTAAGGCTCACAGAACCCCTCCACGCTCACATAACCCCTTAACGTTTACAGAACCCCTCCACGCACACAGAATTCCTCCACGCACACAGAACCCCTTCGCACTCACAGAACCCCTTCACGCACACAGAACCCCTCCACACACACACAGAACCCCTCCATGCACACAGAACCCCTCCATGCTCACAGAACCCCTCCATGCACACAGAACCTCTCCACGCACACAGAACCCCTCCACACTCACATAACCCCTTAACGTTTACAGAACCCCTCCAGGCACACAGAATTCCTCCACGCACACAGAACCCCTTCACGCACACAGAACTCCTTCACGCACACAGAACCCCTCCATGCACACAGAACTCCTTCACGCACACAGAACCCCTTAAGGCTCACAGAACCCCTCCGCGCTCACATAACCCCTTAACGTTTACAGAACCCCTCCACGCACACAGAATTCCTCCACGCACACAGAATTCCTCCACGCACACAGAACCCCTTCATGCACACAGAACCCCTTCACGCACACAGAACCCCTCCACACAAAAACGGCACTCTCTCCACACACACACAGCACACACACACTAAACAACTACACACACTACACCCCCTCCAAATACACACCGCACCCCCCACACACTGAACCCCTACACACACTGCACTCCCCACACACTGAACCCCTACACACACTGAACACACACACTGCACCCCTCACTGTAGTCTGTGTGTGTGTGTATTCACCAGTCTGTGCGCGTTCACCAGTCTGTGTGTATATTCCGCAGTCTCTATATGTGCGTATTCAGCAGCCAGTGTATATATTCAGCAGTCTGTGTGTGTTTTTTGCGGTTTGTGTGTATTTAGCAGTCTGTCTGTGTGTGTAAGTATTGTATTTGTTGGAGGTACCAATAAATATAAGCCTAATTTTATTGATAATTTATATTTTTATTTCTTTGAGTGGTTGCGTAGTCAGGGCCCCAGTGCATTGGTTTGCCCAGTGGACTAATATGCTGTTACGATGGCCCTGGTCTAGGGTATGTGTGTGCTCTGATGATCATGCTCCTACAAAATGTAAATGAAAAGACACTCATGTGAGTACCAGGAAGGGGATGAGCTGTAACAACCAATTCTGGCCAAGAAGAGATTAAAAACGTATGTATTTCTCTGTTTTGTTTTGGGTTTTTTTAGCAATTTTTGTATCGCTAATGGGTGTCCCATTTTTATATTTTCAAAATCTGGTCACCCTAGACACATGGAAGTTTGAGAGGGGGCAAAGGGACACATGCAGCAGGGCTGGGAGAGCTATATGGACACATGGAGGACTGGGAGAGAGGGCTAATGGGACACATGTGGGGCCTACTGGATTATATGCAAATGCACATCTGCGTCTGCTTACAATAAATCTGCTCTGCTTTATTTTGAAACCCTATAAGTGCTTTCTTTCATGTTTGAGTGCTAGTTTTCAGTTTTTTTCCCGCTTCCATATGTGCGCACTATACTGGCGCGATGCATTACGGGGCTGGTATGGAATTTTTTTCCAGGGCTGCTTTTCATTCCCAGTCCGGCCCTGATCTGGAGTCAGTATATGACTATCATTGTGTAAAGTGGTAATTAAATCATCACTCTCCGTATCACTGACCTTAGAAGTAAACGTAGTTGTACTTGAAATACCATTCATATTTTTTAAAAAAGGACCTTAAGGTAGCCCCGATATCAAAGACATGCTATTATTATTATTATTTATTATTATGGTATTTATATAGCACCATCAAATTCCGCAGCGCTCTACAATGGGTGGACGAACAGACATGTAGTTGTAACCAGACAAGTTGGACACACAGGAACAGAGGGGTTGAGGGCCCTGCTCAATGAGCTTACATGCTAGAGGGAGTGGGGTAAAGTGACACAAAAGGTAAGGATAGTATTAGACTAGTGACAGTTGCAGAAGAGGAATCAATCAGGAGCTATTAACAGTTTAATTTGATACGCTATTGATGCATCATCTGAAATACAAATTCACATTCTCTTTAAAAAAAAGTATCTTCATGTATTTTTCATTGGAGTCCAACCCTTTTACCTGGCACTGCAACCTTTCACCCACCATTGGTTGAGGATAGTGGAAATATAAAGAGCATTAAAACACCCAGACAAACCAACATGAAATGTGTAGAACCATACCTCATTGTACAAACTCAAATATCCATAATGGTTTCCTCTGATTTTTGAGTAAAATTACTGTGATCTTTCTCTACTTATTTGTATTTTAGCAGAGAGTACATTTGGGCTTCTTCAAAAAAGTAAAGTTCTGCCAGCAGTGGGATCCACAGCAGAGCATTTCAGAGAAGAACTTCGAGATTTAAAAAAAAAAAATGTGGTACCTGGTTTCTCATACATATTGCCTTTAGTTTCATTGCTTGCTGCCCCATTAATTTGACGTACGTTTCTCTATATTCCATCATCTGTGATTTGATCGGTCCATCCCACTTATTTTTATTTCACCTTTCTATCTCTTACCTCACATTTATTTTCATATTTCTCTCAACTTTCCATTACATCTTGCCTTTGTTTAATCCTACACATTTCTTCCAGTTATTCTACCACCTGAAGCCTTGTCAGGTTTCATTATGATGGTTGACTGAATTTGTGTCAAAGCTGTTTTCCAGGAAGCCACATGCAGTGCATTAACTCCCTATATCTTTGGTGGTATAGGTGCCAAAGCAGAGGCAGCTATGCTTTCCCACTGCCTGTCTCGACTCAGGTGTGGGATCCAATTTGTTAAACAAGAAGGCTATAATATGAAGTTACACATGTGATCTAATAACGGGCATACTGCATGTATGATGATGTCAGTATGTAAAATGATTTCTAAAAATTACCATCCCCAAATGCTTTACTTTAAGAGTGAACATTTGCCCCATGCCCCCTGCCATTACTCAGCCAGTTGTTTGATAATTTTAAAGAAATATTATTATATCAAACAAATGTAATCTATTGCTACAGTAATTTACTGGATTGGGCTGCTATCTTCAAATAGGAAGTTGTTTACAATGAACCTTAAAGTGAAAGATATAGGTTTGCTGTTTTCTAACCATCTGGCTTGACTTGTGTTATACAATTACGTGTTTATCCCCTTCATACTAAATGCTCATAGTTTAATTTATTTCCATTACCCCTGTGTTCTGCTGAGAGCATCAATCATGTTTTCAGTGGGTGTTACACTTGCTATAAAACACAACTATCCTGTATGAGACTTGCTTCCCATAACAGGTTAAAAGTCCCTAATACTTTATGTTGGCTTTCTATAAATTAAACTGATCTGTATATCCATTCTCAGATTGCCTGACCAAAGCTTCTGCAGTAAATCATTCTGACTGTTTCTCTCCTCTCTTCGTGCCGCTGATGGTGCTGTTCTCACACTGAGCCTGGCCCTCCTCCCTGCTTCCCTTTGCAGACTTTGCTTTCCCTTAGGTTGAATTCAAGCAGGAGATACACACCAATGATAGCAGACATGTAGAGCAGAGCCTTCTTATCTCTGTGCTGATTATCACAGGTTCCACATAGACTGAACTGACAGAGAGGAGCAGGTAACTGATTGATAATGTGTTCTGACTTGGCAGTTATCAAAGTGATCAAAACCCAAATATTTCAAGATTTTTTTTTGCCGCTGCTAACACCACTGAAGTCAGAAAACTCTTTTGAGTTAAAACTGGGTCTAAAAGGTGATTTCATTGTTAATCTTGCAATGTTGGCACAACAAGAAAAAATGAAGGTCGCTTCGACTGGCTTTCGATTACAGAGAGCCAAGTGCTTGGATTTAGCTAATAAATGACAGATGTAATTGACTGAGTAATTACTCAAATGGAGTATTCAAAAGGCAAAATCTGGACATTGTTCATGCTATTGAATAATGTCAGGATTTTGCAGAGAAGGCTCTGAATGAGCCTGAAAATTGTCTGTAGATTATTCAGACTGAATACTTGTTGGTTGAAGAACTCGATATGAGGATTTTTAAAATCCAGGCCTGGTTTTAAAATGTCCAAACTTTTGAAATCTGGCAATGATTGGTACGCACTAACCACAGCAGTTTATACACATCATATATAATGATTTCAGCCACCCGGTAGTGTTCAGGATCATTAAAAACCCCACCCTGCCATGCCGCGGGTGGGGTATGTCTACTAAGCAATGAGCAGCCATTGCTGCCCAGTCGCTATAAATGTTAATGCCCACAACAATTTTAAAAATAATGTCCGAATACTTTGCATAGGATTTGGATGCGTAAGGCACTGTTTTTAAACTAGATACTGGCAATTGCAGATCGTGCCAGGTTGGCTGAAATCCAACCAGAAATAGCTTTAGTAAATACGAGTATCAACATTCTGTTCTGAATTCGGCCATGATCAGTTTGGACAAAATCTGGTGTTTAATAAATGACGCTGTAAGCCATTATGTGCCACATGTATGTTGCAGTATGTGTTTCTATAAGGCTTTCAAATAGACATTTTGTATAAGTAACGGAACTCCCTGTCCCCAAAGTGGGTACCTCCACCAAGGACCGCTTCCTAGTTGGAACAGGGGACAAACTGCAGCACTTCTTGCCCTCAGTCGCCGTAGCTTGACTGTGGCCCTGGAACCTCCACCTCCTTCCTGAGATCAGAAGGGAAAATTAGCTCTGACACCTCTAGGCACTCAGTCCTGAAAACTCTGGAACCGAATGGGGAATTAGATCTAGTCCTTACAAGAACTTTCCCCGTTGAATCCCCTGCAAGCTGGAACAGCAGACACAGGAGTAAATCTTCTTTCCCTCCAATAACAGGACGACACACAGTTTTGGAGTGTACGCTGGAATCTCAAGTTTAATGGAACACACTGGCCTTTTATACAATTTTCCAGGCCAGAGGAACACCCTGGACCTGATGGGGCAAAGGAACACAAAGGACATACATTTTGTGACACGCCCATATACAGCACACAATTCCTCCACTCTGCCTAGGAGATAATTGAGTAAAGTCCTGTAAGTAACTCAATTATCTCCTGGCAGAAAAATCACATTTTCACAAAGTTCAGAAATTACCCCAAAATCCATCACATCCACTGATAGCCCTGATCTGGGTGAACAACATATCCAAAATCACCTAGATCAGTTCAGGGGTTCAGGAATTTCCTGGAAGTCATAGTTTTGACAGACAGCAAGCATGGCCCCATGCCCAAACCAGTTCCATGAAATCAGTGCTAACAGTCGGTCAAGTTTGGTAGTCTTTTACAGGTTTCCCTGCAGGGCCCATAGTCCTCCAGGAGCTTGTGGCAAACTCACTTGAAAAGGGGAGTTTGTCACAGTGTACATGTATATTTGTTGTGCTATCGATTATTAGTAGTTATAGTTTGGTTAAAATGCTTATTTGACAAGTCAAGAGAATTACATTTTCAAGCACTATTTGACCAGTTAACATTCCAAACCCCATAAAACCTGTACATTGTTCTTATTAAATTTAATAAAACTATTAATATTGATATCGGTGAAAGGGCAATTTTTGTGTGAGAAATGCAAAAAAACATATATGAACACTAACTTTGGCCAGGGTTTGTGACTAAGCAGCTCCTAAAAAAGACTGGACATATCCCATTTTACATACCCTGGGTTGTCTCCTTTAGCAAATGGTATGCTATGATGAGGGTCATTTTCAATCCTGGGCTGCCATACGGTTTCAAATGCAACATAGGCCCAGCAAACCAATCTGGTAAATTTCGATGTATATAAACAGAAAAGGGAAAAGCCCTATATCTGACCCTGTAACTTTCCAAAACCACATAAAACATGTACATGGGAGGTACTGTTGTACTGGGGGGACATTGCTGAGCATAAATATGAGTATTTCATTGCAGTAAAAACAGTATTATAACATTCACAGTTAAAATGCCTTGTAGAACTTGAAAACTAACAAAAAAAATCTTAATTTGAGATTTTATTCATGTTACATTGTGTTCCATATATAAATAGTTGATGTAAAATGAAAGTCCTATTTCTCCTGAATACAATTATATATAATAAGTGTGGGTGCACTTAATATGAAATAAGTGAATTATGGTTGAACAGAAATATAGCTCAAATTCTAGGTTTTGTTTCGTTTGAGAACTTAACCCCTTAAGGACAATCGGATCCGTCCTTAAGGAGTTAAACTCACCTGTTGTCTTTTGGTTGTATTTAGTTTTTGTTTTCACTTTCGTTGTATGTATTGGGGATGGCTGCCACCCAAGAGTAGTGTGAGTTTCATTTTGCGACTAATTTTCTGTGCCTTTCTATTTACTTTTCTATTATATAGCTATGCCCATCCCATTTGTGTCCTCTTAAAGGACCACTCTAGGCACCCAGACCACTTCAGCTTAATGAAGTGGTCTGGGTGCCAGGTCCCTCTAGGATTAACCCTTTTTTTTATGAACATAGCAGTTTCAAAGAAACTGCTATGTTTATAATAGGGTTAATGCAGCCTCCAAATCCTCTATTGACAGCCGCTAGAGGCGCTTGCGTGCTTCTCACTCTGAAAATCACAGTGAGAACATGCAAGCGTTCAGCTTTCCTATGAGACCGGCTGAATGCACGTGCAGCTCCTGCCGCGCATGCGCATTCAGCCGAAGAGGAGGATTGGAGGCGGAGAGCTCCCCGCCCGGCGCTGGAATAAAGGTGAGTTTAACCCCTTTCCTCGCCATCCAGCCCGGTGGGAGGGGGTCCCTAAGGGTGGGGGCACCCTCAGGGTACTATAGTGCCAGGAAAATGACTATGTTTTCCTGGCACTATAGTGGTCCTTTAAAGTTTAACAAATGTGCAGAGGTTCATTAGAAAACCCCTTTGTGTCTTATTAAAGATTTTGCCTTTTTAACCATCATGGTGACTTGTTACCGTAGAGATTTGCCTTAACACGGCAGATGAGCTTACATTCACAGTTGCAGTGGTACTTAGAACCTTTATTATTTCAAAGTGTATATG